GATTGGCTTTTGATGTGTTTAAGGTAGGCTCTCTCTAGTCTGATACTTTCACAGTGCAACAATGTAGTGTATTCTTCAATGGTGGACACTATGTCCTCCTGATTAAAAGTAAAGCAACTGTATCCCGGGTTCCAGAATTGAACCAAGGCTCTGATTAAGGGCTCATCGATCTTGATATGAAGCAAAAGTGCAATGTCAACGTACCGTTGGCTAAACTTCTGTTTCTGATCATTCTTCCAACTATCCCAGATATCTCGGACCTCTTGCACGTCATTCTGCTTTAGGCTGATAGAGGCATAGCTGACCAGCTCTGATACATAGCTTCCTTGAAGACTGTCTCCCTTTTCCTTCTGAGTCTTCTCGGACCATAGTCATACCTCAGGGTTTTTAATCTCATGTATTACAATAGCTTTGTCCATTTGTTCAGATTATTTTATGTGTAATAAATGCTTTTTAGGGATCAATGACATCTTGTTATGATGCAAATGCTAAAAACAGACACAGGCAAAAAGTTAGTACAATAAAAATAAATAAATAAATAAATATAAAATGAAGAAATGGAAAAATAAAAAAGAAACATGGTTAGGGTAAAAATATTATAGGTTTTGAAATGCGGTTTTGGGGTAGGCTCTAATTCTCCATAGTCTCCTGGTTTAGGTTCTAAAAACGGTACCCAAGTTCTCCTTGCCGGCGCCCCCTTGGGCTTACCAGAGCCTTAGTCCTAAACCCATCACAGGCTTGTGTGGACTAAGTTAAACTCGAGAGGACACATTCCCTTATGTCTATGCGGAGAATAAATTCACACGAAGACATAAGGTATATGAATCCCGAAGGCTACTTGCTAGGCATATGCGGTGAATAAATTCACACGAATGCGTCGTTTTCACCCCTACTTAAAATAGGGTTTGGAGCTCAGGTATAGAGCCTTAAGTGAAAAAAAAAAATTGAAGGCTGAAATCATGAGAAAACGATTAGTACAACTATTTACTTGAAAATATAATCAAAAGTAAGTAAAAAGGATCGAAATGTTACCTTAAAATTTAAACTTACCCTTTTCGTTAAAAAGACAACTAGAAATTACCTTAGCCTAACTCACTTACCTGTGTCCCCAGCAGAGTCGTCAAGCTGTCGTAACCGTCTTTCGGGTGGGCCCCGAAATTGGGTTTCGACGTGAATTAATTGGGTTAGGAGTCACCACCGATCATTTATTTTAAAATAAATAGGTTGATCGGATACCCTATTTCTTACCTAATCTGCGTTTTAGCAAATATATGTCAGATTCGGGAGTCGGTTACAGTCAATGAAGGGTTAGCACCCTTGAACTGCCCTTTCGGTACTACATAATTTTCAGTTGTCTTTAATTAAGAAAATTTGAAAGTCAAAATTTAAAGGTAGCATACGATCCCAAATTATTTACCTCTGATGAATCTAAATCGTGCCCTTAAAAAAATCAAAAAAATGTTAGATGAAAAGGTAATGAATAAATGAATAAAATAAATAAACTCAAGTAAAAAGGAAGAAAGAATTGGTAAATAAATGACTTAAAAATATGAAGTAAAAAAAAAGATAAAACAAACAATAAAAAATAAAATAAGATAAGATAATAAACAAATAAAATAAAAAAAAACAAGAAATAAATAAATTAGAAAAACCAAATGAAAATGAAAATACAAATACAAATATTAAGTAAAATAAAAAAAGTAATAAAATAATAAAATATGAAAAATACTAATATATAATTTTTAGGTAAGAATAATAATGATAATAATAATAAATAGTAAAAAATTGAAAACAATCCCACCGAAAAGAAAAAAGATCTAAGTTTGGTGAAGCTAAATGACAGGAAGGAAGAAAAAAAGAGGAGGTGGACCTTAGCTAATAAATGTGAAGTAAAGTATATAGAGTGTTTAATAAACTATGTATGTATATATATATATATATATATATATATATATAATATTGGTTAAAACCAAAAATAATAAGTAAAATATATACATAAATAAAATACCTAAAATATGATAAATAAAAAATAACATATATATAATAATAAATAAATAAAAAGAATAAAAAGAAAAGAAATAAAAAAATTATAAGAAGAAAATATTAAAACGTAAATATATATAAATATATATACATACATAGATAAGTAAAAAAATAGTAGTAATAAAAATAATAAGGATAATATAAAGAATAATAATAAAAAACAAAAATAGTAAAAGGGTATAAAAAGAAATAAGTAAATATATATATACATATAATAATAATATATATATATATATATATAATAATACGTAATATATAAAAAAGATTTAAAAAATACGAATTGAATTTAACAGGGGCTAAATTGAAAAGAAAAATGAATTGAGTGGTCGAATTAGAACAAAATTGGGGGTTGAGAACATGATTTGGGATCAAAATAGGATCTTAAAAAATGAAGGGGACCAAAAAAGGATTTACCCTATTTTAAAACAAAACGCGCGGGTCTTGAGGCTGGTCGGGTCGGGTCATGGAGGTCTGACGGGCTTAGTATTTAAGCCACTTTATCTTTTTATTTCTCATTTTCCTTCCTCTCAAGCCAAAGCCATTCCTCTCTCTCTCAAGCCAAAGCCATTCCTCTCTCTCTCTCTCTCTCTCTCTCGTTTCCTCTCGCGTGTTCTTCATACTGAAGAACACGCTGCCGCCTGGTTCATAAAAACCCAGATCACGGTCACATGCTGCCTCGCCACCGTCGTTGAACGGCGCCGACCATCGTTCATCGACGGCAAAAATCATTTTTTTTGTTTTTTTAAAAGCTTTTCCTCTCCTCTCTACGAAAACCAACCTATTTTCTTGAAAACAATAAGCCTCGGGGGTAGATCTAGCTTCGAAGTTTTGAAAAACTCTACCCCCAAAGTCATCGGCCGAAGGTTTTTTAGGTTGTAGTCGAACCAAATCTCAAGTAAAAGAAAGGAAAGCAACATGCATGGCGACGAACGAACGAACAAGGTAAAGAAAAACTACCTTTTATTTCCTTCCAAAAATGGTACAAAATGCTCCGAACTCTTGCTAGTATTTTTGTGTCTATTTGTGCGTAATCTCTCTGGTCATATTATGTCCCTCTCATGTGTTGATTACATAATATATATAGCCAAAAAAAATTATTTTTAGAGTTTGAATTTGAGTGAAACACTGATGTTAGTTGCTCTTGTTCGTGTCTTTGCGTGGTCGAGTCTCACGCCGGAGAACTCGGACTGTTGGAGAGGCGTGCGTGGCGAGGAGTCCTTGGTTGGGATGGGTGATGCGGCGCTGGCTTGGACGAGATGGGGTTAGGGTCTCTGGAAACCCTAATCTATTGGGTCGCGAGCTTATTGGGTTTGGGTCATTTGAGCCATTTTTTATTTGTGTGTAACGGTTCTGGCATTACAAAGTAAAGAAACTGTATTGATATAATAATAATATCATATGTATATATATTATACGACGTACACAGTGCACACTAAAATATGTAACACGTATATATTGTATAATATATATAGTTATAAGCAAGGACGAAATTGTGTGTTTACAATATGTCTGGACCCAATAGTAATAATATAATATTTACATATAAATTTTATGGATAATTACTATAATACTCCTCTCTGTAGTTTTTTAAATTATGTTCTTATTTTATGTTGGTTCGGATCAGGTTTATACTCTAAAATTTTGTGTTTGATCGGATTCTGATAAAAGAAATGTAATCTTTGAGTCGGATCGAATCAATGAAGGATATGTATTTTTTTGATCGGGTCAAATTCGAGTAGATAACATATATTTTTGCAAATCAAGTCAAGTTAACAAAAATTCGATCCAGCCGACAACCAGCATTACTTACCCGTGTGTCTGTTAAATCTCGTCCTTTTTCTTACGAGTATGTGGTATAAATATAAACACAATAAAAGAATACTAAATATGTTAGAATTTAAATCCAAACTTAGTTGAACAGCTTGGTTAATTTCTAAGGCTTCTTTTTTGTGTTTCATTTATGTATTTTATGATCATCGGAACGATAAACAACAAATGAATACGATCGAACAGAAAAATAAAAGACATTAAGATTTATGTGAAAAAATAAAAAAGGAAATACCAAGAGCAGAGAAGAAGAAAATTTTACAATGTCGAAAAATACAAAATCATTACATCTGTTACATCTCAAAGCCCTAATTCTTACTTTTTATTTATAGGCTTTGCCCGTTCTACATGCCTCGCACTTTCATCATTGTTCTAATTGTAACTTTAGGTCTGTTTTAAAAAGAAATTGGGTCATAACTCTAATGTTCTCTCTGTATCATAATTTGTGTATTATATTAACCATATACATTGTTTTAGGAGATATATTTAACCAAGAGAAATGATAAAATTATCCATAAAAAAATTAGCTGACCTTATTCTCATATGTAATGGGGTGAGGGGGAGATAAGATAGTAGGTTACCCCCAATGGATTGAGAACATCTTCCATGGAAGACCTCCGGCAGTCAGAATTATGAATTGCCCATCGTGAAACTCGATCCCACGACCACAAGGTTAAGAGCCCTGCGCTCTACCAACTGATTGATATATTTGATAGATTATTTTGATAGGTATAAAAGAGTGATACATATAAAGGTAAAAAAAGAAATATAAATATTGTAATTTGTTGATTTTTCAAACATGATATTTTGCATAAAACAGTTTCAAACATAAAAAGGACACATTAAATGTGACGGTGGAATAATTTACAGTGATGCTGTTAAAATAGAACATTAGTAATCGTCTGTCTGTCGTTTCGCATTCTATAGTACTTGTTGAAACGGTTAAAGTTATGTATCCAAACACTAATGTGTTCTACTACATGGGCAAAGAGTGGAGCTTGAATTTTAACATTTATTTTATTAATTTTTTAACATAATAAACATAATCATAAAAAATAACAAAAGCTCATGGAACTTATGTAGAGGATGAAAACTAGAAGGTAAGAATAACAGTTATTGTATAAGATTAATTAATGTTTTATATTTTGATTATGAATAGGAGGTTTCCGATGGGGTTGTGCATAATCCATTACATCAATGTCCCCAACGTTATCCTTTTCCTTGCAATCCAGAGCTTCCTCAACCCCAGCTCCCAACATCAATCTTGCTTTTGCTCTCTTTAATCCCTACATAATATACCAAACCATTAATACCCCCCCAAAAAAAACATATTTTGTTTGTTTTATTCAATTTTTTATACAAAAAATTTATGGGTAAAGTACACAAATGATCTCTTGACTATAAGATATTATTTTACTGAGTCATCCAAGTATTAAAAGTTACAAAATGATCCTCTGATTATAGAACATTGTTTTGTTGAGTCCCTCAACTATTAAAAGTTACAAAATGGTCACTCGACTATTCCTTATGTTCTAAACTCGTCCTTTCCGTTAAAAAAATAACGATCTTATGAGCTAGAATTTAACATGCTGACGGAGATATGATAGTCGTTTAAGATTATGAGATCAAATTTTATCATATCTCAATCAGCAAGTTAACGTCCAACCCAGACTGACATCAATTTTTAATGAAAAATGATGAGTTTGGGACATTTGAATAGTCAGGTGATCATTTTGTAACTTTTAATAGTCGAGGGACTCAACAAAATAACATCTTATAGTTGGGGGACCATTTTGTAACTTTTGAAAGTTGAAAGACTCAGCAAAACAACACCTTATAATTAGGGGACCGTTAGTGTACTTTATCCTAATTTTTTTTAACTCCAAATGCATGCAACAAAACACCCATGCATGCATGTGAAGACCATCTGACTTCTGTGCTCTGTCCTGGCATGTTTAAGAAGATGGGTCATTGCAGTAACTGGTCTTGGTCTTTTACCATAACCAGTACTGCACTCTAACAACCAGAAACACAGACAAAATCTAGGTTCTAAAGATATGGTCGCTTTTTTTTTACCTCTGCTTTTTCCACGTTTTGCAAATCAACCCGAGAAGAACTGATAATTCCATATCCTGCATGCAAATATCCGCAAAATTCTAGCGCCGTCAATAATATGCAACATGGTGTAAAAGTAAGGCTAGATCATGATTTTTTATATATATATACATATACATATATCACAAACTATATTTATACTATCCATGCCTAACTAAGATCAGATAAAGTTGTTTGTGATATTCTTTATCAAAGAATTATTGAGGTTTATTATTGTGCAACAGCACCAGAATTTCCTGAGCCAACCAAGTTGGACAAGTGCTGAAAGAATAAAAATATCTTTGGAAGCCTGAAGAGAATTCAAATTTAGTTTAAATAATGACACATGTTCAAAAAGAATATAATTAGCATGTATATTTCTAGTTGAAAAGTCTCGTAAATTCCAAATAAAACATACTAATAATTAGTTTGAATATAACCTGCTGAAATTGGATTTGCAACATCTTCTTTTTCCTGAAGAAAAGGGCTCAAAAGTGCTTGCTTCACAGATTTTGCCCCAACTTGTACTGTTTGTAGTTTCTTTGAGATTGCAGGCTCCGTCTCTAACGTATGAGCTTTCAGCTTATTGGCATCCTGCATCAAGTTCAATCATACCAAGAATTTAACATATAATTATTATAAAGTCAATCAAATCTTTCCTACACTAACCTTACTGGCAAGAAAATCGACACGGTCGCCGATCTCTTGAGCGAAAAACCCTAGACGGCGAGCATTGCATGCATGCAAAGAAAGATAAAGGAGAACGAAGAACGAAAGTGAAGACATAAGAATTGAAGAGCTTTAATCTTACAAGGAAGAAAAATGGGAAGAGGTATGGGGATGCTACTGCAGTGTTAGGTTATTCCAAGTATTTGTAATCATAGAAGCATTAAATGCAAGTTTTGTATTGAATTGAAATGAGTTCTTTAAGAGAACATGCAGGTGTTCGGATGATGAATCCTGAAAACGAAATTGAATATATTCGTGGGGCCTCCCTTTGTCGCTTGCACTTGAGTTTTTAATCAAATGTATGGGTACCAAAGTATGAATTATACAGCAATACGCAAAGGTATCAAAGATATTAAAAAGGGAAGGGAGTTTTTATTGACGGATTGGTTAAGTGGTAAGTATTTTTTTATCAAAGATATACAGAGTTTTTACCAATTCAAGTTTAAGGTTTTGAATAGGCAGAAAACTCTTGCCGGAAGATTCATCCACAAAAATAAGTGTGCGACACGAATCGATTCGGATTGATAATAGCAAAGTCTTGGAGAACCGGAAGGACAACAAAAAAAGAAGTTTTTTTGTTGAAATAAATACATGGTATATTTTACGAATTACTTGTAGTTTTTATAATAGAATTGTTTTGGCTTAAAGGTTACTTTTGTTTCTGTAGTAGACTCAATTTATCATTTTTTCGCGAATGTATGTTCGCATCAATTTAGTTCTCAAAGTTGTTTAGGAGCATCATCCTAACCCTCGAAGTCCGTTGATCGTTTTGACTAACAGGATCGTTAGTCTTATGTGTCTATGGATTAAGGGATTAAGTTAAAATATTTACTAAACAACTGTTATAAAAAAATCCTAAAATTTTATTAATTTCAGTGAGATTAAGGGATTAGGTTAAAATTTTAAGGATTTATATATATATTTTTGGTATAATCACTGGTATCCAATCTATTGATCGACTAATTCGGATCGGGTACTGTAGAGGCAATGATAAACCTCTCAACTCAGTTTGCTCCATTCGCAAGCACCAAGATTTGAACTTCTAACCCTGTTGAAATTATCTAATGTCTCTTCCTACTAGACCAATTGATTGTTGATAATTTTTTTTATTATTTATTTATTCTAATAAATATCACGTCATTATCAAGCCACGTCAGTAATATTGGCTAACGTGGAAATTGCTGGCGTCGACAGATGCAGAAGACTAATGATTCTGTTAGTCAAAACGAACTTTGAAGACTATGATGATACCCCTAAACAATTTCAAATGCTAAATTGATACGAAAATTTCATAAAAATGAAAATAATAAATTGGGTATATTATAGGGGAAATAACCCTTAAGCCATTTTTCCCTCTTGAACCATCCATCTGATTTGTTTATGTTGAAATTGCAAATTGATTAATGGAATTGGATGGGGAAAATATGTGATTTTGTCGGAGGATAGGTAACGATAGGTTTGACATGTTAAGTATTATGAAAACATCCAAAAATGAAAATCAAATATAATATAATTGAAAGAAGAAAAGTACTTGGAGTGTGGGTAAAGAAGTAAAATTAAATAAGGCAGCCGCAACAGTAAATCAAGGTCCTACCCATGTGTTTCTGCTGAGGAAGCCCACTCCTTGCACCCTAATTTGTATGGAAGAATTATCACTGCAACGGCGATGGCCTTTGATGATTTGCTTTTGTTTGATCATTTTGTTTTTTTTTTTCTTTATTTTTTTCTTACATGATCACTTTTGTAAAACCATTATAGATTGCATTGCATGTTACATGATGTTAAGGGTGTTAGTAAATATTATTGCAAAATAAAATGATTATATTATTGACTATTACTATAAAAGAAAATGATACAATTACAGTGTTGTTTGTAAAAGTCAAATCGTGACTTGCCTTAAAAGTAATTACGTCTGAATTGATGTAATATCGAAAATGTACGTTGCCCTCGAAAGTTAACATAGTGTTTCAAATTTCGTACATCCGAAATAAAGATGTGTGACTCACTTGATATTACTCCTTTTGAAGAAAAGTAAGAAGAGAAAACATGAACAAATGTTTTCAATGTGAAAATAATGAACATTTAGTTTGATATTTATAAGGAGAAATCAAAGGTAAATTAGTAAATATGATGAAATTAGTTATCATAAAATCTCAACCGCTCCTCTACTATCTATTATATTTAGAAATAAAATCTTATTTAAAATAAATAAAATAATGTATCCTCAAAAATTAATTTTTTAGAAAACGATAAAAGAGTAATAACGAAATTAACAGCTCAAGTGAAATGAACAAGTCTTCTCTTTAACAAATGAAACAATTTCAACTTTGTTAAAATATGAGAAAATTCCACGTCCACTTAACGACACGCCACTACCAAGTTAGTGTAGTGTGCTCAAAGTGATTGCATTTCTTATTAAGTGTACCAAAATAATAGAAGCAACAAAGTCAAGATCTTTCAGACAGAAAAGAAGAAATACGTTCATCAAATAATTTCAAAAAAATTGCGCAAGTGCTCACTAAAGTCGCAAACGGAAAGGATCTTCATTGTAAGAACGTTAAAAACAGATACGAGAGACAGAAAATACAAGCAAAATAAAACAAAGAAAAGTCAGCCTTGGCTGCTGGCTGAGCCACCCGCTCATTCCACAAAATCATTTTTCACCTTCAAGAAAGTCCACTGCTATAGGGGCGTCAAAGGTTCAGTAATAAGAACAACCACAATAGCCTTCTTTTGCACAGTAAAGTTGGTCCAGGACGGTCCGCCAGGATTCCTGATGTCAAAATTTAAAATACAAACTTTCAATACCGCATAATTTCAGTAACCCAAACTCGAAGTTCACTTTATAACCTTCCCTCACCCGAGGGGCAACAATTACTACCTGCAGTGAGCTTCTGGTCTATAGAACTCACACGATTCCAGGGCTATGCGAACATACCCTGCGAACTCCAGTCAACTAACATGTGTCCCTCGTCTATAACCTCACAAACATACCTTGCGGATACTCACTAACGGTCACATGTTGATACACGTGGTCTTACTTGATGACTGATCAGTCCTTATCATCGCTCCCTAGGACGTTCACTCAAAACCAATGTCACGACATCCCCCAATCGACACCTATCCCGAGCATTATAAATAGCCATACAACATAGAGTAAAGACACGGATAATCTAACATCCAAAGAACTCAAATTCAAAAAACCAAAAAAACCTTTCAATCACCATCTGCGACTGTTGACGACTTCACCTGTCAACAAATATATACATTGAACAATAAAACATAGTGCAGATTTTCTGTTTTACCTCTAAAGCATGGATATATGATGTTAATAGTGGATACGAAGATTATATAAACCTTAGAGGCTAGAGCTATCCTCGATACTTAATAAGATAAGGATAAGATTCAAATCTGCTGTTATTTACCCATGTCGAACATATAAGTTAAGGCAATTACTATATATTCATTAGAAATCCGAATCACAATTAAACATGTGTGTTTAGGAGAATTCAGATGAATGAATGAGGTTTATCTATGTTGACATGCATGTGGAAGTAGCCGTTGTCAGAAATAGAAAAAGAGAAAATAGAGAGGGAGGGGTGCAAACAGCAACATGGAACACATGGGTCCTACAGTCGAATGGAATGGGGGTAGGGGCCATTGGTTTGAAGACAAAGCTGCATGGCCAAACCGCCACTTGCATTGCATCTCGTCCAATCTTGAGGGACATGGAGGGTCAAGTTCCCCTCATCTCCGCCGGTTTAGGCCATGCATACCACGTGCTATTCATCCAATAAGACTTTTGCGTATAATTGGTCTCCGATTGGACTCCTAAACTGAAACTCAGAGAATACTTGATAGCTAAGAGGGCGAGAGAGAATATATAAACTATTTATTAAATTTTAGGGTAAACTATATGTTTAGTACCTAAACTATTACTTTTGTTCTGTTTTGGTACCTAACCTTTATTTTTTTAAATCATGCCTAATATTTAGTTTAAGTTTCATTTTGGTACTCGTCTTTAAGAAATAAAACAAGTGACATTTTATGGATAAATTACATCATTTATCACTCAACTATCTTCTCACTCTTATTTTGATCACCAAAGTTTAAACATTTTCAATTTAACTACTCAACTTTCAAATTGCTCATATTTTAATCACTCTGATTTATTTTTATTAATAGATAATTAAAATAAAAAATTAAATTTAATATTATAACCAAACCCAAAAATTTATCACAAACCCTCATCCCACCTCACGACCTTAAAATAAAAAATTAAATTTAATATTATAACCAAACCCAAAAATTATATCACAAACCCCTCATCCCACCCTCACGACCTCACTCTTACCGACCTCTCTAACCCGCCTCTTCATTTTTTTTATTTTAATCATATATTAATAAAGTAATAATTAAATGATGACACATCATAGAAAATATTATTAAAATAAGTTAGAATGATTAAAATGTGAGTAATTTGAAAGTTAAGTGATTAAATTAAACTTCAATGACAAAAATAGGAGTGAAAAAATAGTTGAGTGATAAAATGATGTAATTTACCCATAAAAATACCATGCACAATAGTTTCATTAAGTTTTTAACTGTGGGTGTCAAAATAAAACATAAACTAAACACTAAGTATGATTTTGAAAAAAATAAAGTTTATATATCAAAACAGAATAAAAGTAACTGTATAAGTACTAAACTTATAATTTATTCTAAATTTTATTAGGCATAGTGACAAAAAAGCCCCAACGATTGACAAAAGAATCTTGAAAACTCATCTTTAAAGCGCATTTAAATATATTTTTAAATTATTTTCAACTCTAAATTATTTTTGAAAATTTTTGATAAATTAACAAATTAGTTTTCCCAGAAATCTCGTGTTTGTTTCACGTAATTCGTTTTCTGGAAAATGTTTTCCGTGTTTGTTTCACGTAATTCGTTTTCCAGAAAATATTTTCCCGTGTTTGTTTCACGTAATTCGTTTTTCGGAAAATGTTTTCCAGTATTTGGTTGGAGGAAAACTGGTTGGTCAACGTAAAATATTTTTCTGGTCAACAGAATTTCTTTTGTGTTTTCTGGAAAATGACTTACGGT